GACTTCTTGAGGGGTTTACTGAAGGAGCAATCTGCTAGCTACATCTCTACTATTCAATTTGATAGAAAAAATAAGGACCAACTCAACTTGCTGAACAGGACTAGAGCTAGTATCTCAAAAGACATCCAGAACTATCTGTACTGCTGGGACACTTGCTAGTGGAATATCTTCTCTTTCCAAAAACACCTCACCCCTTCCATGCTGTTCTTTTCTTGGAGAGTTCTTAATAACCTTCTCCCCACATATGATATTCTAAAACTTAAAGGCCTGAAAGGTCCTTCAATATGCCACCTATGCAAGCTTGATCAGGACACAAGGGATCATTTATTCTTCAGGTGCAGCTTTGCTAAGGAGGTTTGGAATAGACTAACTTCCCAAATGAACATCAACCTGATTAACATTGGTTGGGATAATATTACAGACTGCACTAAAGACTAGAAAGAGTTAAACCTCATGCCAATTCCCTTCATTGTTGATTGGTTTATTTGGATAGCTAGAAACATGGCCAAACATGAGGATAGGGAGGACAGTGCCACATGGGTGATGTCTAACTGCTGGGCTTACCTAAACAAGTTAATACACCGGAGGAAGTTCCCCATGATCCTGCAGACCACAACTTACATGGGTGCTAATCACTTTAAAATTATCAAGGTGAGATGGGAGAGACATCCTTATCCTTTAGTTAAAATTAACACTGATGGAAGTTACAAAAACAAGAGAGCAGGTATTGGGAGAATTTTCAGAGATCACAAAGGGAAGACTTTGAGGGGGAATTTTAAGAGATCACGAACGGAAGACTTTGCTGTTCAATAAGGCCCCTTATATAGCTGAGGATGCTTTGGAAACTGAAGCTGCTGCTCTATTTTGGGCTTTAAATTTTGCTAAGAAGAATAATTGGCAGTGGATTATTGCTGAAATGGACTCCTCCCTGCTGGTGGTGTTGCTCAATTCTAAGATGTCTTCCACATATCTATCAATGGATCCACAGAATTAAAAAGCTCAGCACTGAAAGCAAGATTCATTTTTCATTTGTGTATAGGGAAGCTAATAGACCTGCAAATTTATGCAAATTTCCTAGCTACAGAAGGTGCTAATGCCGATCATCCTGAGGTGTCCACAACCCTCTCCCCCTCCCTACACTTACTAACTCAGGGGGACCAGCTTCAAATTCCTTACCTCAGAGTGCAAAAATGATTGATGGGGCTGCGATTGTGGCCATGAACAGTCTTATGTCTCTTCTTGCTTTTGGAAGTTCAGATGTTTAGTTTTGCTTGGGAGTTGTTTTGTAAATATATAGATATATAT